GACAGTCCTAGAACTCATCTAGCTTTGCCAGTGAGTCTGGAGTATTGTGGTGAAGGGTGTTGGAGTGCCAGCCCGAGGACTGACCTCCCTAACCAGGGCAGCTGTATAAGAGGATAGCCTTTATTTTGATAGGAGTCTTTCAAATGGTGGGAGATATGGGAGTCTTTTTTTTTTTGGTGGTGGTGGTACTAGGGTTTGTACTCAGGGCCTCATGCTTGCTAGGCAGAAGCTGTACCATTTCTTTTTGTGTTAGTATTTTCAAGATAGGGTCTCACCAACTATTTGCCCCTGGGCTGGCCTCAAACTGTGATCCAACTGATTTCTGCCTCCTGAATAGCTAGGATTATAGGCATAAGCCATTGGCGACTAACTGCTTCTTCTCCTCCTCTCTTCTCCTTCTTCTTTCTTCTTCTTGTACTGGGGTTTGAATTCAGGACCTCAGAGGGGAGTCTTTGTAACTAAAAAAATTTTATGTATATATACGTACACATGCATACTCACACATACTTACTCAAGCATCTGGTTCTAGGGGGAGTTAGCAGTGTAAAAGATCTGATAGAAAAGACAACTTCCAATTTTCTGAAATAGGACCTACAAGTAACTCAGAGAACAAGTTAAGGAGGGTGGGGGGGTGATTCAGAGTCATTCCCCTGTGAGTCTGGTGCCCCCACGGCAGGGATTCCATCTTGCCAAGGTCTCTATTACGTCCTCACTGCCACCACAAGTTCCTGGCCCGGTGTTGGATGCACAATAATGTTTGTGCAGCTGCAGGAGAGACCTACAAGTAGGGGAATTGCTCCCTGGGGGGCCAGCAGCCTGGGGAAGCTGTTGTGGGAAGAGGCTTTGAGGCCAGTTATACCTGGAGTTCATTCATTCATTTGAAACTTGTTCCAAAGGCTGGTGGAGTGGTTCAAGTGGTAGAGCACCTGCCTAGCAAGTGTGAGGCCCTGAGTTCAAACCCCAGTACCATCAGAAAAACAAAGAAAGCTGGGCACCAGTGGCTCATGCCTGTAATCCTAGCTACTCAGGAGGCAGAGATGAGGAGGATCTCGGTTTGAAGCCAGTCTGGGCAAATAGTTTGCAAGACCGTATCTTGAAAAAACCCTTCACAAAAAATTGCTGGTGGAGTGGCTTGAGGTGTAGGCCCTGAGTTCAAGCCCCAGTACCACGAAAAAAAAGAAAAAAAACAAAACCCAAATCCCCAAAACCTGTTCCTGAGGGCTGGAGGTGTAGACTTTAAGTAAATTGACTTTAAGTAAATCACTAACTCTCTCTGAGACCATGTCTCACTCTCAGGGTGCATGAATATTAAATGAGCTAACATGAAAATATCTACTACAGAGTCAGACATGGTCACCATTAAGGTGAAGAGGAATTTGGGGGGTTGGGATGCAACATTGGACAGAAGTAAAAGGATTAGCAGAATTTTTCTGGTAATCCCTGCTGAGAAGGATGACCTAGGAAATCCCAGCTCTGGTTCCAATCACACAATGTTGGGGTTTTTTGTTTGGTGTTTTTTTGTCATTTAGTGCTGGGGATTGAACCAAGGGCTTTGTGGCTTCATGCATGGTGCATACTAGGCCAGTGCTCTACCACGTGAGCCATGCTCTCAGCACTTTTGCTTTCCAGAACGTCCCCTATACTTTGCCTGAGCTTCTAATTCTGCCTCCATTTCCTGAATCTCCTCATGCACCTGGTTTTTTAGGGGCTAGTTTGATGTTACCCCTTCTCTACTTTCCTAGCCTGGAATGGGGCAGGAGCCAGTTCCCAGAACCACCTCTCCACCAAGTAATCTTGATATCCTTACTCCTGAAGTACTGTACAGTGATCCCTGCTCTGTGGTTGCTCCAAAGGCCAGCCTTACCCTTCTGCCTTCTTCCCTGTTGACCAAGAGTGTGGCCAGAACAAACAATGGAGCTGTTAAGTTGGCACTGAGCCCAGGAAGCTCCCTCCTTGGGGGGGCCAATGGAGCTGAGCTGAGGTGAATAATGTGGACACACTCCTGTATTCTTGTTTCTCTTCTGCTCCAACCTCCCTCCTCCAAACCCCAGCAGCCCTCCTTGCAGGCACCCTGTGTCTTTGTGGCATATGTCACATTATAGCCATCTTTTTGAGAGCCGAGGTATAAATCAACTCTTATTTTAAGATATACTAGGAAAACTTGCTCTTTTAAGGAATCAAATGATTCATTTCAAAGTTGAAAATCTTAAAAAAAAATCTTTTGGTAAACAATTAACAGCGGTTACTTTTGGGGAAAGGGACTGGAGTAGGGAAGGATGGAATCATTTACTTTTTATTGCTTTATCTTTCTGTGTTGTTTAAATTCTAGGGTCTGGGGGTGTAGCTCAACGGTAGAGCATGTGCTTAGCATGCAGGAGGCCCTGGGTTTAATCCCCAGGCTCAAACAACAAGAAGAACAAGATTTCACTATTAGGGAAGTACTGATTTTATTTTTTTATGTCAACAAGGATTATCTGGTTTGTAGAATTGTAGGGTACTTTATTCTTGGTTTATATTTAAGAGGTTGAATAAATGTTATTTACAATGAAATAAAATGTAAAAAGACATTGGTAGAGGAAACAATTGGGCTCTTGGTTTTTATTTTTTTAAAGTGTTCCAAAGTTTAAATATATATATATATATTTAAATATATATATTTATATATTTATAATATTTATATATTTAAATATATATATATATATATATATATATATATATATATATATATATGGTATCCACTTAGGTGCCAGGAAAGGAGTGCAGAATAAAATGGGGGAAGAAGTGATTTTTGGAAAGGGTGGATCTATGACAGTGTGCTTGTGATGATGTGTGTGGTAGGGATGACTCACTAGATATGTGTGTGTGTGAGAGAGAGAGAGAGAAAGAGAGAATGTTGTTGCCCAAGTCTCTACTTTGCCTGTGTGTCTTTACATGTCTATACCTGTCTGAAAGTTTATATATATTTCTCCATCTGTCTTTGCATTTTTATTAAGATATATTTGTTGTACGGGGGGATTCATACTCATATTTCCCCACCTTTGTGTGCCCACTATATGCATGCCTGCATGTCTGTGACTCCTTTTTCTCTCTTCCTTCCCCCACTGCCTGTACCCTGTGTGGTAATTGGACCTGGACACAGCCCCCAGGGCTGGCAGCAGACTCCACTGCTGGTATTTTTAGCCTGTAAACATGTTTGCCATTTCATAGGACAGGGCTGAGCTGGTCTCTACCCCAGCCCACTCATGATCTTGCAGGGAAGAGGTGCTCCTATCTCCTGCCAAGGTCTCAGTTCCCAACCCTGAGTTCTTTCTTCTCCAGCTTTTGGGAAGGAAAACTGGAGTGGGCAGTGGGCTGCCACCTTTAAGGGAACATAAGAAGGCTCTGGAAAGAAGAGAAAAGCAGTGTGGAGGGGGTGTAGCCAGAAGGCCCCTACACCCCATCATTAAGTGCTTAATAAAATCTCCATATAGTTAGAAGTGGCTGTGGGAAATGGCTGTAAATTAGGAAACTCAGCGTCCTGCAAATGGGGTAGAATGGGAGGGGCTTGGAGAGGGGCTGAGAAGGGCTAGGAAGGTGAGGAAAAGCTGGAGCTCCCGCGCTCCTTAGCTTAGTGGGGGAAGAGGGTCATCAAATGATGGTGGTCAATCCATGGCTCCTCCAAGGACTGCAGGCCTGACTCCAGTCTCGCTGCCGCAGCCTGAACAGCAACGTGGTGCGAAAGGGCACCATTGACCCCGCCTTCTGGGGATGAGGCCAGTGTCTCTGAGCAGGTAGAGGGAGGAGGTGAGGGAGCTCCGAGAAAGAAGGCAAGAAAGAAATGGGCGCAGCTGCCTGGAGCTTGGGAACCTAGAGAAGAGGCTAGGGCCTGGGATTGAAGTGTTGTCTAGCTTGAGAGAAAGCTCAGAAGTCCGTGTTCAGGCTGCAGGAGGCGGCTGAATCATCTGTGCCTCTTGGCCTTTCCTGCAAAATGGATTGAGTCTTCCATTGCAGCTGTGAGGATGAGCCTCAGAGTGCTTCCAGGAATTTCTTGTCGATGAAACCATTCACTGCACGCACTCGGAGGTAGATCCAGGCCCAGGATAGGGCAGGGGGCAACAGATGGTTTAGGGCAGGGAAAAGGCGATGTCCCTTTGGCTTTGCGCCCCTTCCACAGCAGTACCCCCATCCCCAATAGTCCACTCCCGGATTGCCCCAGTGTCGGCCCTGCTCTCTGGTCCCAGTCCCGCTTGGGCCCCGCCCGGCCCCGCCCTCTCCCCACAGCTCGGGGCAGACCCGCCCGCCAGAGCCCGAGTTACAAGAGCCGCCTCCGCGCGCGGGGGCCCGGCCACTTGGAGCAGCTCTGCCGCGGGGACTGCACTGCCCGCCCTGCCGGACCCGCCCCGACCGGGGCTCGCCGCCGCCAGCAGCCGCACACCGCGACCTCGGGCCCCGCGCCGGCTATGGTTGTACTCTGGGGCTGAGCGCGAAGGTAGGGTCGCCAGGCGCACCGTCGCGCGGTCCCGGGTCAGGACACAGATAACCGATGAGGGAAGGTGTGTTGCAGGACTTGGTCGAGGCGCATTTGGTGTAGTGTCACCGTGAGTATTCAAACAATTTAGAGCAAGCTGGGCCTCCCGTGGCCGCCTAGGGGAGGCGACGCGTCGCGTCCTGGGAGTGGAGCGCTGTCTCGGGAGTTGGGGCACAAGTTGGGCAAAGTTGGAAAGTCGCTCCAAAATGTGCTTTGCTCCATTCGGTAGCTCTTTAGAGGACGGATTGTGGTCCCTACTGCACGGCAGAGCGCCCTGTTTCTGACCTGGTGGCTCGGGTCCCACACCCTCTCTCGTTGGGGCGGTGGCTCAGCATGCTGTTCTGTTCCTAGTCCATGTTTACTGTCGAAGTCTTCTGAGATCGCCGCCGCAGTCCCGTGGTTCCTCCAGGAACCCCTGCGCCCCTGCACCGCGCTCCCCCTCTGCTGTCCTCCTCTCCCCGTTCCTCCGCCGCTAACTTCGTGTCGCGAGTTCTCCCAGCCCCACCCTGTTCTGTACCACCAGCCTCTCCCTTTCTCGCTCCTGGCTGCCACCTCAGCCCCCCCCTTCAGCTGCCCCGCCCTAGTCTTGCCCCTCCGTGTTCCCCACTCCAGAAAACTCCCTTCTTCCTCTAGGGCCTCGGAACCTGAAAGTTTGCAGCGCACCTCCCTGCGGGATGGGTGGGAGTAGGGGTGGGGGACATAATTAGGGAGATTCCTGCGTTGGTGTGGGCGGAGAGGGGGGCTGTGTCGCTGCACAGCCACGCAGAACCGCCCCATTCCCCTCCAGAGGCGGTGCTTTCTCCCCCACTCCACTCCCAAACTCGTCCGGGCGGGATGGCCCCCGCCCGAGAGCCTGGCTCGACGCCAGCAGCCTGAGGAATGTGGTGGTTGGAGCCGGTGACTAATTCAAACCAGAACTCGGGGAGGAGTGGTGAGGGGCAAAGGGAAGGGGAACGGGGCTGTGTGTGGGTGGTGGGGACAGGAGCAGGGCTTGGCATAGGTGGAGGACTTCGCTGGCTTCTCTGGAACCCTCCACTCTTTCAGTGCGCACCAGGAGAGAGGGCCGGGGGCGAGATTTTGCTGTGGTGTTGGATAGGCTTAGGGTGTGTGCAGAGAACTATGTTATGTAAGGCTTTCCCATGCAGGGAGGGGATGTGCGACTTGCGAGGGCCTGGTCTGCCCCTGGCGTGGCTGGGCACCCCCTTCAGTGCCAGCGCCTTGGTGTGGAGGCGCAGACCCTTGGTAACGCTGGTCTGGAGGGACTCGTGGATCGGGAGCAGGGCTAGCGGAGGGAGTATGTAGGGGGACGCGAAGACTCTTACAGCTCTGAGCCGGGACAACCAGGAGGAGGACCACTCTAGCACTTCTTGCGCTTTTGGCAGGGTGTGGCTCCTGCTGCGGCCAGCGAGGCGCTCTGGTAGCTTGCAGCCACTGTCAAGTGCCTTGCTCTTTGGAGGGGATTTGTGGAAAGGCAGCGGTGAAGCCCTCCCTCCCCCGGCCCCCCTTCCCCCGGTAGTCGGGTTCTTGGAGAATGACCGGGAGTTCCCAGAGGAAAAGGGACCCAGATATCTACCTGTGTCCCCAGTACAGAGCTGGGCTTCCAATAAATGACTTGGAAACCGTCTTCCCCATTAGACGTTAACCTCTGTAGGGGCGGTCTTCACCCTGTGCCCTTCCTAGCAGCAGCCTACCTAGCATATGATAGGTGTTAGGTTGATTTTGTGGGATCCAGTGATCCAGCAGGGTGCTGTTCTGGTAGGTGAATGGAAGGAAACCGGGGTGGGGGGGAGAAGGGAGAGATAGCAGATGACTTAAAAGGTATTTAAGGGACCGCGTGTGTCTATTCTGGGTGTAATTTGGGTGAGCAGAACTTGCTTTTGTTCCTTCCCTATGAGGGAAGTCCCTGGGGCAGGGTGTGGCACTCTTCTCTTTCCCAAGCTGAATGGGGTGGCTTCCTTCTCTTCCTGCCTTGAGGGACTATGGGCTAGGCTCTCACCTGGTCAGTACAGAATGAAAATTGGGATGGGGGATAAGGAAACCCCAGGCTTTCTCTGAGCTGTGAACTGTGGGGTGAGGAAGGGTGGGGAAGGAACTAGGACTCTGGTAGCTGAGCTAGCAAAGGGCGTAGGGCCTGGGGGGGCGGGCAGTGCTAGAGGATGAGAGGTGGAATGTGTCGGAGCTTCTCTCTAAGCACCCCCCCCCAATAATAAGAAATTGAAACCCTGTCCTAAGAGGTTATGTTCAGGGACATTGGTCAGAGAACAAGGACACACAGGAGTGTTGGAGGTCCACAGCAGTGCTGCAGGGGTCCTGGCCTGGGCAACTCCTTGGAGTTGATTCCATGGACCTGAGGACTTGTGCTAGCCAGACATGGTCAAGGGGGTGAGGCTATAGGCTCAGGACCAGAATGGGACTCAAAGATTTGTTGTTGGTATTCTTATCAATCCAGGAAAGTGGGTGGCTTCGTGGGAGAGAGAGTGAACCCTAGAGACCTGTGAAGGGAAAAGGCCAGCACTAGCCAAGGCAGGGAACGAACTAGGGGTCCCCTAAGTCGGTTCTAAGGAGGCCATGGGTGGAGAGCACTACTAGGCTGTATTCTTTTGCTCGACTTGGAATTGGCTGTTGGACCCTGGCAGAGCACAGCACTCTGAGCCTGAGGAGTGGTTCGAAGGGTTGGGCAAGGCTGAGGGGGTGGAGGGGGTGTGTGTGGGACACTTGGGTGTGGTAATCAACTTCTTCAGAACTTGGGAACTGCCTGGAGACAGACAGAGGCAGACTGGGAGAGCTAGTTTGACTCCTGATGGGAACTTTCCTGGATGCCCCCAAATTTCTCTCCCCAGAGCTGGACTGACCATGTGCTTGTGCACACTTAGGTTACAGGAAGGAAGGTGGACCCCGGAGAGAGTTTAGAATGTGCGTTTCACTTGAGCAGTGGCAGTGGTGAGTGTCTAGGGCCTTCTGCTCTCTTTGCTCTCTTCAGGCTTCAGCCAGGCTCCGGGGGACCTTGCGTTTCTCTGGGTTTGACCAGTGGACCATCTGGCTGGGCTCCCAAACCTTCCTGATCCTTAGCAATTTTCTCCATGCCTGAGTGCTCATGGGGGACACATAGAGGGGCACAGCAAGGGTCTGCAGAAATGTCTGCATATGTTTTGATGAGGTCCCTTTTCTTTCTGGCTGGCTTCAGTTCCCATCTGGGTTAAGGATGGGCTTCAGTTGCTCCACTGTGGCTTTGGGTCCCTGTGACTGCTTGTATCACAGCCTTTTTGTCTCTGAGTGACATTTGTGTCATTGCCTGTGAGAGGGCGTCCCATTGGTTGTGCATGGGGGTCCTTATATTGTGGTGAACTTGGATGTGTCTCTTCTGCCTTCTTTGTGGGCTTGCTGGGCAGGGGCAATAGCAGTCTGTTCTGGTGGTGGAAGTTTCATAAAGGTGTGCAGAGGCTGTAGTAAGGGACTGAAGAAAACTTCTCTGTTCCACACATGTCAGGACCCTGAAGTTTGTGTCCAGAGGCCCATGAGAAGGCTAGGACAGGCCTGGGAGTGCAGGCCGAGCAAGCAGCACACGGCCTGTCAGGGAGGGGCATCCTGCCTGATCCCCAGGGGCTAGAGCGGAGGTTCTGGGGGAAGGGGAAGTGCCTGGAGCTGATCCCAGCTACGTGTTCTGGCTGGGCTGGGGGACAGGCTCTTTGGCGGCCAGGCCCTGCACCCCTGCACTAGCATGGCTTGACCGCTGGGGGCGAATGTGCAGCTCCTTCTCTAGAACTGAGCCATGGGTGGGGCAGAGGGCAGTTTCCAAATTGTAATCTACCTGCCCCCCAACCCCAGGGCAAGAGCAACATTCTCCACATTTCCCTACCCTCACATGGGACACCATCCCAGAGCTGGTGTCCTAATCTGAGTCCTACATAAAGGCCCATTTTTCCTTGCCTTTGTAGCAGGCATGGACTTCCCATTGGTTAATATAATGCTGGCCTTAGTCTCTGTCACAAGGAAGGGGGAGAATCCCTTTTGGCCAGGGGTGGAAGAGGGAATCTCTCTCCCTGCTGGAAGTGAGAACTTGGCACTTTGGGGCTTGGAGATCACTGGGAGAGTGGGAGGAAGATGTGCACGGCCAGGGTAGAAAGGTAGAGAAAGACTTTGAAGAGCAGCCAGCTGACGGGAGTCTGGGTGTGGAGCTGTCCTGGAGGTTGTCATTCAGATATTCCTAGCACCATGGTGAGGGGATGAAGGGAAGGGAAGGGAAGGACTAGAGAGAAAAGGCTGAAAAAATTTCCTCCTAGTAAGACTTTTGGGCTGGGCTAGCACCACCTTCCCCCACCGCCCCAAAAGGTAGTGTAGCTCAAGACTGGCAGGTGCATACACAGAGAGGGTGGCGGAGACTTAGGGACACAGGCACCAGGTGAACAGGTAGAGAGGCCCCATGATAGGTGTCTGCTTTGAGCTGCTGAAAGAGTAGGGTTTGTGGGCCTGCTCTGTGCTGTGAAGAGTAGGGAATGGGGCTTTGTGTTCACATGGTGTGTGTATCTATATGTTTCTTTTTTCTGAACATCCCTTCAGTGCCCATGTAGTCTGTGCCTTGCAACATATTAATCTAATACTCCTTGATAATACCTCTCTTCCCCCCAAAATTGAAAGTGGAACATACCACTCAGAATCAACTGGGTGGGTTTGTAAAGTTTTTTTTTTTGTTGTTGTTGTTTTGCTTTGTTTTTTTTTGAGAAAAGGTCTCACACTATACATAGTGACAGCCCAGGCTGTCCTGGAACTCAAGATCCTCCTGCTTCAGCCATCTAAGTGTTGAGATTATAGGTGTGCACCCCATGACTGACCCACTTAGATTGCAGCTGCACATTTCTTCTCCAGGTAGAATAGGGTTTTTTTTTTTTTCAAACAGAAGTCTAGCAGTTGCATCTTTGGGGGTCTATTTGGCGGCTTAGGCTGTGGAAGAGATGCCACTGCTGTTTCTCTTTGTTCCTCTGTGATGAGGGTTTGTCTGTCATGGCTGTCCCGTCTCCCAATGAGTGATAATACTTGCCTTGCTTGGTCTGTGCCTGCCTGTACAGTGAGTCTGGTACCAGTTGAGCCCTTAGAAGGGGAGAATTCTCTTGTCTTCCTGCCTGTTGGCCCCTAGAGAAATCTAGAGGTGAGCTGGGTTCTGGGAAGCTCTGGGTTTCTGACTCCTAGGGACATAGCCATCACTGAGCATCAGAACCAAGAGGCCCCTCAAATGCAGGGTCCTGGGATGCTTGTAACTGCCCAGACAGTCAGGATGAGGCTGGTGTATGAGGAGGGGAGGCCTGAAGGCTTCTTTGTCTTCCTGTGGGCATATCCCTCCTGCTCCTACTCTTATTCTCTAGTGCGTATTTACTTGTTCCTTTGTCTCTCTACCTGGATGAAGATTGTTAACCTTGGAGTCAAAGAACCCTGACTTACTTTTCAGCTCAGTCGTCTTACTCTGGGGCTGTTTTCAACATCTTTAAAATGAAGATTTTAATTCTTCTCACATAGGGTTATTTGGAGATGGGATGAGACCTCAGGCATGAGATGTCACCAGTACTGTATCTGGCACACAGTAGCACTCTGCAGAACTCTTTCTCAACTTGTGATGGTGGAGGTTTTCTCTCATTGGGGAGCTTTCTCTTCCTCTTTGTGCCTGGTGAATGTTTGTGAGAGTATGTATCACACCTGGGTGTGTCTCTCTTTTTTGACTATCCCACCCCTCCTTCTGGTTATGAGTATTTAGGGCTTTCCCTCTAGTGGAGGTCTCTAATTCAGGGGTGAGTCATTGCATTCTTGAGATGGGGACTGCTTCCCTCTAGCCTTGTGTGTATGGTGGATTGGCTGGCACGTGTTCATGATGCTGTGCTGGAAGTTTTGCTCTTCTCGGTGTCTCCTTGAAGTGAAACCACCCACGTCTAACTTGTGCTGGGCAGATACAAAATTGTGTCCTCCTTTGGTGTGTATCTTGTCTTAGATTTGGTACATTCATTTTTTTTTTTTCATTTTTCATTTATTATTCATATGTGCATACAAGGCTTGGTTTATTTCTCCCCCCTGCTCCCACCCCCTCCCTTACCACCCACAGATTTGGTACATTCAGACACTGAGGTGCCTGGGCTTATTTCTTAGGGAGTGTGGATTAGTTGCTGTCATCTTGACCTTGATGAGCTACAAGGCTGCAGCAATTAGCTTAAGCCCTTTCCCTGGCTATCTTTGTATTGACTTTCAGGAGGAAGGGCCCAAGAGGAAAATTGTTCCTCTGGAGGTCATCCCTGGCCTCTCCTTGGGGCAAGGAGTCTGCCTGGGCATCTTCGGATTTGCTCGGTGTTACCCCTAGTCCATGGGGGTGGACAGGCAGGGTCCTGTTGCCTTGTACCTGCTCTTTGTGGTTTTGAGTTTCAGGACTGCCTATTCTTCTGTCATGACTTCTGTCCTGAATTATACTCTATCCCCTCAGTCTTTGGTTGTGCATCCTCTTCCTCTTGGCTTTGCAGCTAGAGTAGCTTCACCATCTCACTCCTTTTCTGTCCTCCAAGCAGCCCCTGCCTTAGGGGTTCTCCACTCCAGCCTTGCTCCTTCTTTTCTCAAAGTACACTGTAAGCCATTGTGGGGGGGACATGGGGTTGGGAGTTAGCCACCAGGATTGTAGGGCCCCAACACTCTCCCATTCTCACCTCTCTAAATGTCCCTTTTCCTACCTGTGAGTACCAACTAGTGTCCCACAGAACTCTGCAATGGGGGAAAATCTCCACCTGCTTTCTAATATAGTAGCCGTAAGCCACAGGTGGCTGCTGAGCACCTAAAATGTGGTTAGTGCAACTGCTAAACTAAAATTTTAATTTTGTTTAGTTAGTTTAAATTTGGATAGCCACATATGTCTATCGTGTTGGACAGTCTGGCATTGATGTCTTGTCTAGCCTAAAGGCATATGAGGCTGACTGGTTCAGAATTCCCCATAGCTCCAAAGACCTTTCTCTGGGTGCTTGAGGAAGCCTGATTTAGCCTAACTGTGTGGGAGGAAAGGAGGGAACATCTGGACTTGGTACAGGCTCCATGGTGGAGGAGAGATCAAGGGCTGGGACCCAGATGCAGAAAATAGGCCTTTGCCACCATGACATCTCATCTCCCATCTGCACCCTTGAACACTCATCCTTAGAACTGAATGGCCCAAATCTGATGAGAGGAGAGTTCTTCCTGGCTGTGACAAAACAGTAAGCCCAGAGCCAGAGCAGACAGGGTAATTGGCAGCCACGTGGCCAGGAAGCCATACGGTCCCTGGCCAGGGCCAACCCGTAGCCTCTGGTCCAATGGTTCCTGTTCTCACGGACCCTTCTCAGAATGGCTTCACCTTCCGTGATAGCCTCCTGGGTTGAAGCATGTAGCAAGTCCCTCTTGTGCCTCAGTGCCATGCTTCCAGGGACTCCTGTCCTTGGGGGCTTCACCATGAGGAACCGGCAGGGAAGCCAATAGGAGCCCTAGACCCTCTGGCACCTGGGGGTCTGGCCCAGGAGGCAGTGCGTGTTTTAGGCGTGACCCTTTGCATGTCTGGAGCTGTTGCTGCTGGCTGCAGTGACTCACCGAGGCAGGAGGGAGGGAGGGAGGGTGGAGCAGCCATGTGGGCAAGGGTGAGCTGGCTGCTGGCTCAGCAGCAGGATGCTGGGCTGAGAAAGGGGCCCTGCGAGAGGAGGAAGACAGGAGCACCGAGGCAACCCAAAGGGGTGGCTTTAGTTTTGAGAGGCCTGGGCTGGAAACTTTTACCTTCCCTATCTCTGGCTGGTTCTTCTTGGCAGAAGGTGTTTGTTAAGTGCCAGTTTTCAGGGTCAGTTTAACTTCCCTCCTGCAGTGACCTCCTCTGCCTGCCAGGAAGGGGAAGAAGTGTTTTCCCATCTCACACCTGTGCCAGCAGGTCTCTTCCCCCCCAGCCTTTGCTCACCTTTAAGCCAGCACCTGTGTTGCTGAGAAGGTGTGTGGCAAACACCACATTTATGAGTTGGTCAAGCAAGAGAACAGGTGGGGAGGTCATTTATGTTGATTTCTGTCTGAGACTGGAACTGGAACTGCCAAGTGTCCATGAATTTTCAAGAGTCACAGTCTCATCCTAGAGGTGAACTTCAGCACTTTTGAGTTTTCATTTATATTTCATTCCCTTGAGAAGGTTCCCAAACTTTCTGGAACATTCTGAGGTCAATTCAGCACACCCAGAGCACCTTGCGTATAATTTATATCCTCGACAGGATCTACGTCTTTCAAATTTCCGTATCTGGCACATGGAGTGCATTCAATAATTGCTTAGAGAATGCATGAGTGATGGTAGGTAATTCTCTAATGCACTGTACAATTAGGCGCTGGGCCAGGCTGTGTTTGTCCCTGGCTAGTGCCCCCTGAAGTGTCGGGTACGGTGTTGGACATGTAAGAGGTGATTGGTATGCATACATTTCTTGATTGCCTGACTAATTTGTGGTTGCAACTTCCGGGCAGGCCTTTGGGTGAGGCTCATCACAATTTACAGTATCCCCCACACAATTTCACAGGCATGCTTTTTTTTTTTCTTTCAATATTGGGGCTTGAACTCAGGGCCTACACCTTGAGCCACTCCACCAGCCTTTTTTTGTGAAGGGTTTTTTCGAGATAGGGTCTTGCAAACTATTTGCCTGGGCTGGCTTCAAACTGCGATCCTCCTGATTTCTGCTTCCTGAGTAGCTAGGATTATAGGCGTGAGCCACAGGTGCCCAGCACAGGCATGCTTTTGATGGCTGCTGCTGCCATTTCCTGGGGGTGGCTGTACTCTCATGGCCATAATCACAGTCCTGCCTGGTGTCTTCCCATGGTGCCTCTGCAACTGACAGCTCATTCTGTGGCTGGGTGTGGGGGTGGTTGTCTTTATCTTTGGGGTCTTGGCTCAGGGCCCTGTGTGGGCAGTCAGATGGGCCTTGACTCACCACTGGCCTGAGGCAGGTTTACTTCACCCTCTTGGCTTGGGCCAGTGCCTGGTGGAGGTGGGGCTTCCTTTTTTCAGGCTACAACCAAGAGCACAGCTTCTGGAGCAGCCAGCTGGTGAGGGTTCCCTTTGGTCAGGAGGACCAAAAGGATATGGTGAGCCACTGTGGGGAGGAGGAGTACCACCATTCCTGCTTGGAAGCGCTGTCGATCAGATGTGGTTTAGGGGAAAAAGTTGTAGTTACAGGTTGGAGCCTGGCATTGTCCCTTTCTTGGTGTGCACCTCCAGCAAACTGGCCTTTCATAGTCTCAATCTATGTGGTGGAGACAGTAATGTCTGCCTGCCAACACTATTACAGAGAATATGGTGAGTGTGATATGTGTGGGACCCCTGTGTGCTATCCTTTGATCCTCATGAAAATCTTTCTCTCTCTCTCTTTCTCAGCACTGGGATTTGAACTCAGGGCGTTACACTTGCTTGCCTGGCACTCTACCACTTGAATCACACCCATAGCCCCTTTTTTACTTTTTGTTATTTTTCTGCATAGGGTCTCGTGTTTTTGCCCTGAGCTGGCCTTGGACTTTCTCTTTCTACTTATACTTCTTTTGAGACTGGGGTGACAGATGTGCACTACCACACTCAGCTAGAAATCTCTTATTTTCACAGATGGGGGAATGGAGGTTCAGAGAAGTTAAGTGCCTTGGCCAAGGTCCCACAGCTAGGAGGATCCAGAGCTAGCACTGGAATCTGAGTCTGGCCTTCTCTAATCTGGCTTTCCATGATAACAGGCTTGACAGTAATGGAGTTGCTGACTGTAGTGGGGCCTGTGGTTTTGGCCTGTCCTGGGGAACAGCATCCAGCCATCCTTTGGGTGGTAGCCAGTCAAAGTTTTGAGCAATCTGAGTGCAAGTGTCATGTGAACTTTTTCCTAGGCTGTGTGACCGAGATTCCTGACGAAAGAAAGAGACTGAGGAGAAAAGAGGAAGGAGGGGCGGGCTCCTGGCAAGGCACTCGCTCCTGAACAGAGTCCTGCAAAGGTCAGTAGGAGGGCGGGTGATGGGATTGGGGACACTGGAGACCTTGTGTGGCATTGGGAGACTGGGCTCTGAGTGGAAGGGGCATGGGGTGGTGATTTCCTTTCCATGTATATTCTCTGATGTGCCTTGGGAGAACTTCCATAGTAGAAGGATCTGTGACGGATCACCGTCTACTACACCAAATATCTCACTGTCAGGTGAGCCTGTGTCATGGGAGCAGGTGCACTGGGACAAGGACTCCATTCCCTGGAAGTGCATAGCACTGAAGAGCTCTGGCTTTCTCAGACCTTCCTGCCCTCATGTCCCCCCTGACCTGAGTTCCATTTTCTTACCGCATCCCAGATGGAGAAGGAGGAAGAGACGACTCGGGAGCTGCTGCTGCCCAACTGGCAGGGCAGTGGCTCCCACGGGCTGACTATTGCCCAGAGGGATGACGGTGTCTTTGTGCAGGAGGTGATGCAGAACTCCCCTGCGGCCCGCACTGGGGTGGTTAAGGAGGGTGAGTCTCCCCAAGGGTGCTGACTGGGTGCTGGGCATTCGGGGTGGGAGAGGGTGCTGGGGGGAAGGGGAGAGGACAGGGAACAGATAAGAATGGGCAAGTGGCTGCATAGGGCCTGGTTCCAGTGGCACCAGGATGGTCAATACCCAAGCCCAGGCCTTGCTCGCCCACTCTGTGTCCCTTGCTTGTGGATCTCAGAGGAGACTGCCACATGGGGTCATGGAAACCTAGTCCTTATATCTGACTGTACCACCCACTAGCTGTGCAGCTTTGGGCAAATTAGTTAGCTTTTCTAAGCTCATCTGTTCAATGTTATTACCATGTCTGCCTGGTTAAAGGCAAATCAATTTTAGTGACTAGCACATGGCTGTTAATGTGTTGTTTCCCTGAGCCCTGCTTATTGCTCCTCCCTCTTCAGGGGACCAGATTGTGGGTGCCACCATCTACTTTGACAACCTGCAGTCGGGTGAGGTGACCCAGCTGCTCAACACCATGGGACATCACACTGTTGGCCTGAAGCTGCACCGCAAGGGGGACCGCTCCCCTGAGCCTGGCCAGACCTGGACCCATGAAGTGTTCAGCTCCCACAGCTCTGAGGTGGTTCTGGTGAGTACTGTGGCCCATCTGTGCTCTCAGCTGCCTTTGACCACACTGTCCTGCTGGCCCTACTTCCTGAACTTTCTGTTTTCCTCCTGGACCTTTTCTAATTACTTCTCCTCCTTTTACTTCTCTGCCTTCTCTTGAGCTCTCCACCAGACTGTTTATGTATAACATGTAGCTAATGTTGACCCTAAAAGTAAAGACATCATCAGTCTCAAAAGTGCCCACTGTGCCATGGTTTGGGAACCAACTCATGTACTGTGGGCCTGGATGCCAGGAGAAAGATCAACTGCTTTGCAAGAGTCATTTTTTTTTTTTTTTGGTTGTACTGGGGTTTGGATTCAGAGCCTTGTGTTTGCTAGGCAGGCATTCTATTACTTGAGCCACACTCCCAGCCTGCAAGAGTCTGAAATGATTTTACTCTGCCTCACAGACACCATTTTTCTCCTTACAGAGGCCAGAGACTGTACTGTGAATCATTGGGGAGTGGGGAGCAGCGCAGTGCCTGTAGGGATGCTTTTCTGCTCCTGATGATGTCTTATTTATTGAACAGATGATAGGACCTCAAAGTGAAAGTGTAATCCAAGTACAGCCAAGCTCTTAGGCTCAACAAATGCTTTCCAAAGTGCAAAGCAAAGTGCTTTCCTAGGAGGGCTAAAGGGTCTGATCAGAGCAGGTCCCTACAATGGGTTTGTTTGAATGTCTACTGGATTGCATACGCTCCTCCCAAACACAGTTGAGGTCTCTATATCCATCCCAACCACTCCTATGGCTTTTGCTTATACAAATTTACCCCAAATAATTTCCAATTTCCTCCTGTGATGTGGCTTGTTAGCCCCTTTCTTCAGTCCCTTCTGCTTTGCCCCAGGAGGATTCTTGGACCTCTATTATGGTCCCAGCTTCTTTGGGAAACAGGCAACCATGTTGTCAGCTGGGCTGTGGCCGGGCATCTGCCAGCTAAGGCAGACTGTGCTGCAACCTTTGCCGGGCGTGTCTTTCTGCAGAGCGGGGGTGATGAGGCGTACCAACGCATCTACACCACAAAGATCAAGCCTCGGCTGAGGTCAGAGGATGGAGTAGAAGGGGACCTTGGGGAGACACAGAGCCGTACCATCACAGTGACCAGAAGGGTCACAGCCTACACTGTGGATGTGACCAGCCGGGAAGGAGCCAAGGACAGTGACATCAGCAGCCCTGAATTCATGATCAAGGTTCCAAGGCATGAAGTGACTGAAATCTCCACCATGGATGTGGAGACCCAACCTGGGAAGACAGTGATCAGACTGCCCTCGGCATCTGGGGCAGCCTCTCCAACGACAGGCTCTACAGGAGCTATCTCTGCTTCAGGACCAGAGCTTCAGGGTGCTGGCCACTCGAAACTCCAGGTCACTATGCCTGGGATAAAGGTGGGAAGCCCGGGTGTTAATGTCAGTGCAAAGGGCTTAGACTTGGGTGACAAAGGAGGGGTCCAAGTTCCAGGAGTAGACATTTCATCTTCTCCTGGGGGTGGGGCAGTAGAGGTGCAGGGCCCATCCCTCCAGAGTTGTGATATTGGGAAAATTAAAATTCCTACCATGAAAATGCCGAAATTTGGTGTCTCGACAGGGCCTGAGGGTCAGGCACCACTGGCAGGGCTGAGTGTTTCTGTACCTGAATTCTCTGTGGGCCAAAAAGGCAGCAAACCAGACTTGACCATCAGTGGGAATATCCAGGCCCCTCATCTGGAGGTCAGTGCCTCCTCTGCCAATGTTGAGGGGCTTGAAGGGAAACTGAAAGGCCCTCAAATCACTGGGCCATCACTTGAGGGTGACTTAGGCCTGAAAGGTGCCAAGCCACAGGGGGGCATAGGAATGGATGCCTCTGCTCCCCAAATCGAGGGCAGGATCACTGGCCCCAGTGTGCAAGTTCAAGCCCCTGATGTTGATATTCAAGGGCCTGCAGGCAAGCTGAATTTGCCTGAGATGAAAGTTCCTAAGTTCTCTGCATCAGGTTCAAAGGGAGAAGGAGCTGGCATTGATGTGACACTGCCCAAAGGTGAAGTGACTCTTCCTGGGGTCTCTGGAAATGTCAGCCTGCCTGAGATTACTACTGGTGGGCTGGAAGGGAAGATGACAGGTGCTAAAGTCAAGACTCCTCAAATGATCATTCAGAAACCTAAAATCTCCATGAAGGATGTAGATCTGAGCCTTGGGTTCCCTAAACTGAAAGGAGATATTAAGGTATCTTCTCCTGAGGTGAAAGGTGATATTAAAGGCCCACAAGTGGCAATTAAAGGCTCAAAAGTGGACACAGAGACACCAAACCTAGAGGGGACCTTGACAGGCCCCAAGCTCAGTGGTCCTTCTGGGAAAACAGGAGCATGTAGGATCTCTATGGCAGACGTAGATTTAAATGTGGCTGTGCCTAAAATGAAAGGGGGTGTAGATGTTACACTCCCAAACATAGAAGGGAAAGTCAAAGTCCCTGAAGTTGATGTCAAGGGCCCCAAAGTGAATGTCAGTGCCCCAGATGTGGAAATTCATGGTCCAGAATGGAACCTGAAAATGCCCAAGATGAAGGTACCCAAGTTCAGCACTCAGGAGTCAAAGGGGAAGGCCCAGATGTAGATGTGACCCTACCTAAAGAAGATATCAATATTTCAGGGCCAAAGATTAACGTAGAAGCTCCAAATGTCGAAGTGGAGGGGCTGGGGGGAAAACTTAAAGGCCCTGATATTCAGCTGCCTCAAGTGAGTGTCAAGACACCAAAAACCTCCATACCTGATGCAGATTTGCATGTTAAAGGTGCAAAAGTGAAGGGAGAGTATGATGTAACAGTGCCAAAACTTGAGGGAGAACTGAAAGGCCCTAAAGTGGACATTGGTGCCCCAGATGTGGATGTTCATGGCCCAGACTGGCACCTAAAGATGCCCAAGATGAAAATGCCCAAATTCAGTGTGCCCGGGTTCAAAGCAGAGGGCCCAGAAGTGGATGTGAACTTGCCCAAGGTGGATGCGGAAATTTCTGGGCCCAAGGTAGAGGTTAGTGCTCCAGATGTCAACATTGAGGGGCCAGAAGGGAAATTGAAAGGGCCTAAGTTTAAAATGCCTGAAATGAATATGAAAGCTCCAAAGATCTCCATGCCAGATGTGGACTTACATTTAAAAGGCCCCAGTGTAAAGGGAGAATATGATGTTACAGTGCCAAGAGTTGAAGGTGAGATTAAAGTTCCTGACATTGAACTTAAAAGTGCCAGAGTTGACATTGATGTTCCAGATGTGGACGTTCATGGCCCAGAATGGAACCTAAAGATGCCCAAAATGAAAATGCCCAAGTTCAGCATGCCAGGATTCAAGGCAGAGGGACCTGAAGTGGAGGTGAACCTCCCTAAAGCCGACATTGACATCTCTGGCCCCAAGGTGGATGTTGAAGTTCCAGATGTGAATATTGAAGGACCTGAAGGAAAATTGAAGGGTTCCAAATTTAAGATGCCAGAGATGAATATCAAGGCCCCAAAGATCTCCATGCCTGATGTGGATTTGCATATGAAAGGTCCCAAGGCAAAGGGAGAATATGATGTCACAGTGCCAAAGCTGGAAGGGGACCTGAAAGGCCCAAAAATAGATGTCAGTGCTCCCGATGTTGACATTCATGGTCCCGATTGGAACTTGAAAATGCCAAAGATTAAAATGCCCAAATTCAGCATGCCTAGTCTCAAAGGAGAGGGCCCAGAAATGGATGTGAACTTGCCCAAGGCTGATGTGGACATTTCTGCACCAAAGCTAGATATTAGTGCTCCAGATCTGAACCTTGAAGGACCAGAAGGGAAGTTGAAAGGCCCCAAGTTTAAGATGCCTGAGATGCACTTCAGGGCTCCAAAAATGTCTCTGCCAGATGTTGATCTGGATCTTAAAGAACCAAAAATGAAAGGAAATCTAGATATGTCTGCACCAAAAATAGAGGGTGAGATGAAAGTTCCAGATGTGGATATCAAAGGTCCTAAGGTAGATATTAAAGCACCAGATATAGAAGGTCAAGGTTCAGACTGGAGCCTGAAAATGCCCAAGATGAAAATGCCCAAGTTCAGTATGCCCAGCCTCAAAGGTGAGAGCCCAGATGTGGATTTGAACCTTCCCAAAATTGACATTGATGTGTCAAGACCCAAAGTTGACATTGAAGCCCCAGATGTAAGCCTTGAGGGCCAAGAAGGAAAGCTGAAGGGCCCCAAGTTTAAGATGCCTGAGATGCACTTCAAGACCCCCAAGGTCTCCATGCCTGATGTGGACTTACACTTGAAAGGCCCCAGAGTCAAGGGGGATATGGACGTGACTGTGCCCAAGGTTGAAGGTGAAATGAAAGTGCCAGATGTGGACATCAAAGGACCCAAAATTGACATTAATGCCCCAGATGTGGACGTTCATGGCCCAGACTGGCACCTGAAGATGCCCAAGATGAAAATGCCCAAGTTCAGCATGCCTGGCTTCAAAGCAGAGGGCCCAGATGTGGATGTGAACCTGCCCAAGGCCAGTGTTGACGTGTCAGTGCCCAAGGTGGACATTGAAGCCCCTGATGTGAGCCTTGAAGGTCCAGATGCTAAGCTGAAGGGTCCCAAGTTTAAGATGCCTGAGATGCATTTCAAGGCTCCCAAGATCTCTATGCCTGATGTGGACTTGAATCTTAAGGGGCCAAAAGTAAAGGGAGATGTGGATGTGTCTTTGCCTGCAGTAGAAGGTGAAATGAAAGTGCCAGATGTGGACATCAAAGGTCCTAAAGTGGGCATTGATGCCCCTGATGTGGACATTCATGGCCCAGACTGGCATCTGAAGATGCCCAAGATAAAAATGCCCAAGTTCAGCATGCCTGGCTTCAAAGCTGAGGGGCCCGAAGTGGATGTGAACCTGCCCAAGGCTGACATTGATATCTCAGGACCCAAGGTGGACATTGACGTTCCCGATGTGAATATTGAAGGTCCAGATGCTAAGCTGAAGGGCCCCAAGTTCAAGATGCCTGAGATGAACATCAAAGCCCCCAAGGTCTCCATGCCTGATGTTGACTTTAACCTGAAAGGTCCCAAAGTGAAGGGCGATGTGGATGTTTCTCTTCCAAAGGTGGAAGCTGACCTCAAGGCCCCTGAAGTTGACATAAAGGGACCCAAAGTGGACATTGATGCTCCTGATGTGGATGTACATGGCCCAGACTGGCACCTGAAGATGCCCAAGGTGAAAATGCCCAAGTTCAGCATGCCAGGATTCAAAGGAGAGGGTCCAGAAGTGGATGTGAATCTGCCCAAGGCTGACATTGATATCTCAGGACCCAAGGTGGACATTGACGTTCCCGATGTGAATATTGAAGGTCCAGATGCTAAGCTGAAGGGCCCCAAGTTCAAGATGCCAGAAATGAATATAAAGCCTCAGAAGATACCGATGCCAGATGTTAGTTTGCATTTGAAAGGTCCTAAAGTGAAAGGAGATTATGATGTTACAGTTCCAAACGTAGAAGGAGATATAAAAGCTCCTTCTGTTGACATCAAAGGACCTAAAGTGGACATTAATGCCCCAGATGTGGAAGTCCAAGGCCCTGACTGGCACCTGAAGATGCCCAAGATGAAAATGCCCAAGTTCAGCATGCCTGGCTTCAAAGGAGAGGGGCCAGAAGTGGATGTGAACCTTCCCAAGTCCAGCATTGATGTCTCAGGACCCAAAGTGGACATCGATGGTCCTGATGTGAACATTGAAGCTCCAGAGGGGAAACTGAAGGGCCCCAAGTTCAAGATGCCAAGCATGAATATTCAGACACATAAAATCTCTATGCCTGATGTTGGGCTTAATCTAAAAGCTCCTAAATTGAAAACTGATGTAGATGTTTCCCTTCCCAAAGTGGAGGGAAACTTGAAGGGTCCCAAAGTTGATGTGAAAGCTCCTAAGATGAATGTGGATGTTGGTGATGTTGATCTGGAATGTCCAGAAGGAAAGTTGAAGGGCCCCAAGTTTAAGATGCCTGAGATGCACTTCAAGACCCCCAAGGTTTCCATGCCTGATGTGGACTTACACTTGAAAAGCCCCAGAGTCAAGGGGGATATGGACATGACTGTGCCCAAGGTAGAAGGTGAAATGAAAGTGCCAGATGTGGACATCAAAGGACCCAAGGTTGACATCAGTGCTCCAGATGTGGATGTACAAGGTCCAGACTGGCACTTGAAGATGCCCAAGATGAAAATGCCCAAGTTTAGCATGCCTGGCTTCAGAGCAGAGGGCCCTGAAGTTGATGTGACCCTGCCTAAGGCTGACATTGATGTCTCAGGGCCCAAAGTGGACATTGATGCTCCTGATTTGGATATTGAGGGGCCAGAAGGAAAATTGAAAGGCCCCAAATTTAAGATGCCCAAATTGAATATCAAAGGTCCCAAGATATCCATGCCAGATGTGGACTTGAATTTGAAGGGACCCAAACTGAAAGGAGAGATAGATGCTTCTATGCCAGAAATGGAAGGTGATCTCAGAGGCCCGGAAGTTGATATTAAAGGCCCCAGTGTGGATATGGAGGTACCTGATGTTGATCTGGAATGTCCTGATGCAAAGCTGAAGGGCCCCAAGTTTAAGATGCCTGAGATGCACTTCAGGGCCCCCAAGGTCTCCATGCCTGATGTGGACTTACACTTGAAAGGCCCCAGAGTCAAGGGGGATATGGACGTGACTGTGCCCAAGGTAGAAGGTGAAATGAAAGTGTCAGATGTGGACATCAAAGGACCCAAAGTTGACATTAATGCCCCAGATGTGGACGTTCATGGCCCAGACTGGCACTTGAAGATGCCCAAGATGAAAATGCCCAAGTTCAGCATGCCTGGCTTCAAAGCAGAGGGCCCAGATGTGGATGTGAATCTGCCTAAGGCTGATATTGACGTGTCAGGACCCAAAGTGGACATCGAAGCCCCTGATGTGAGCCTTGAATGTCCAGAAGGGAAGCTGAAAGGCCCCAAGTTTAAGATGCCTGAGATGCATTTCAAGACCCCCAAGATCTCCATGCCTGATGTGGACTTACACTTGAAGGGCCCTAAAGTCAAAGGTGATGTGGACGTGTCTGTGCCAAAATTGGAAGGAGATTTGAAAGGCCCCAGTGTGGATGTGGAGGTGCCTGATGTTGATCTGGAATGTCCTGATGCAAAGCTGAAGGGCCCCAAGTTTAAGATGCCTGACATGCACTTCAAGGCCCCCAAGGTCTCCATGCCTGATGTGGATTTCAACTTAAAGGGGCCTAAAATCAAAGGAGACATTGATGCTTCTGCCCCAAAGCTTGAGGGAGAAATAAAAGGTCCTGAATTGGATGTCAAGGGCCCCAAATTGGATGCTGACATGCCAGAAGTATCTGTAGAAGGCCCTGATGGCAAATGGAAAAGTCCTAAGTTCAAGATGCCGGACATGCACTTTAAAGCTCCAAAAATCTCCATGCCAGACATTGACTTACACTTGAGGAGTCCCAAGACAAAAGGAGAGGTGGATTTACATGTTCCCAAATTGGAAGGAGACCTCAAAGGGCCACATGTGGACATCAGTGGGCCAGATATTGACATTGAAGGACCAGAGGGCAAATTGAAAGGCCCTAAGTTCAAGATGCCTGATGTGCATTTCAAAGCCCCTAATATTTCTATGACAGATGTTGACCTAAATCTGAAAGGGCCCAAAATCAAGGGAGATGCAGATGTGTCTATGCCTGAGATAGAAGGTAAAATTAAAGTACCAGATGTGAACATCAAGGGACCCAAAGTAGATGTAGGTGCTCCTGAAGTGCATGGCCCAGACTGGCACCTGAAGATGCCCAAGATGAAAATGCCAAAGTTCAGCATGCCTGGCTTCAAAGCTGAAGGCCCTGAAGTGGATGTGAACCTGCCCAAGGCTGACATTGATGTCTCAGGACCCAATGTGGACATTGAAGGCCCTGATGTTAATATTGAAGGACCAGAAGGGAAGTTGAAAGGTCCTAAGTTCAAGATGCCTGAGATGAACATCAAAGCCCCCAAGATCTCCATGCCTGATGTTGATTTGCATCTGAAGGGGCCCAGGGTCAAGGGCGATGTGGATGTGTCTCTGCCCAAAGTGGAAGGTGAGATTAAAGTTCCTGAAGTGGATATTAAAGGCCCCAAAGTGGACATTGATGCTCCTAATGTAGATGTTCATGGTCCAGACTGGCACTTGAAGATGCCCAAGGTGAAAATGCCCAAGTTCAGCATGCCTGGCTTCAAAGGAGAGGGCCCAGATGTGGATGTGAACCTGCCCAAGGCTGACATTGATATCTCAGGACCCAAGGTGGACATAGACACTCCTGACATTGACATTCATGGCCCAGAAGGGAAACTGAAGGGCCCCAAGTTTAAAGTGCCTGACCTGCATCTCAAGGCACCCAAGATCTCCATGCCTGAGGTTGATCTGAATCTGAAGGTCCAAAGGTCAAGGGTGATGTGGATGTTTCTTTGCCAAAATTGGAAGGAGACCTCAAAGGCCCTGAAGTTGACATCAAAGGTCCTAAAGTGGACATTGGTGCCCCAGATGTGGATGTTCATGGTCCAGACTGGCACCTGAAGATGCCCAAGGTGAAAATGCCCAAGTTCAGCATGCCTGGCTTCAAAGCAGAGGGTCCAGAAGTAGATGTGAACTTGCCCAAGGCTGACATTGATGTCTCAGGACCAAAGGTGGACCTTGATGTTCCAGATGTGAATATTGAAGGTCCAGATGCTAAGCTGAAGGGCCCCAAGTTCAAGATGCCTGAGATGAACATCAAAGCCCCCAAGATCTCCATGCCTGATGTTGATTTGCATCTGAAGGGGCCCAAGGTCAAGGGCGATGTGGATGTTTCTCTGCCCAAGGTGGAAGGTGACCTCAAGGGCCCTGAAGTTGACATAAAGGGACCCAAAGTGGACATAGATGTCCCTGATGTGGACGTTCATGGCCCAGACTGGCACCTGAAGATGCCCAAGGTGAAAATGCCCAAGTTCAGCATGCCTGGCTTCAAAACAGAGGGGCCTGAAGTGGATGTGAACCTGCCCAAGGCTGACATTGATGTCTCAGGACCTAAGGTGGACATTGAAGGCCCTGATGTTAACCTTGAAGGGCCAGAAGGGAAGCTGAAGGGCCCCAAGTTCAAGATGCCTGAGATGAACATCAAGACTCCCAAGATCTCAATGCCTGACATTGATCTTAACCTGAAAGGCCCAAAAGTGAAAGGTGATATGGATGTGTCTCTGCCAAAAATGGAAGGTGAGATTAAAGTTCCTGAAGTGGATATTAAAGGCCCCAAAGTGGACATTGATGCCCCTGATGTGGATGTGCATGGCCCAGACTGGCACCTGAAGATGCCCAAGATAAAAATGCCCAAGTTCAGCATGCCTGGCTTCAAAGGAGAGGGCCCAGAAGTAGATGTGAACTTGCCCAAGGCCGACATTGATGTCTCAGGACCAAAGGTGGACATTGACGTTCCCGATGTGAATATTGAAGGTCCAGACGCTAAGCTGAAGGGCCCCAAGTTCAAGATGCCTGAGATGAACATCAAAGCCCCCAAAATATCGATGCCAGATTTGGACCTTAATCTTAAAGGCCCTAAAATGAAAGGAGACATGGATGTTTCACTTCCAAATGTAGAAGTGATTTGAAAGGGCCTACTCTTGACATAAAGGGCCCAAAGGTAGAACTAGATGCTCCTGGTATTGACATTCATGGACCAGAGGGTAAATTAAAAGCTCCAAAACTGAAGATGCCTGACATGCATGTAAACATGCCCAAGATCTCCATGCCAGAAATTGACTTGAATATGAAGGGGCCAAAGCTGAAGGGAGATGTTGATATCTCTGGACCCAAGCTGGAGGGTGACATTAATGCTCCCAAGTTGGATGTGAAGGGCCCAGAAGTGGACATTTCTGGTCCTAAAGTCAATATTGAAGGCAAATCAAAGAAATCTCGTTTCAAGCTTCCCAAATTTAATTTTTCAGGTTCCAAAGTTCAGACACCTGATGTGGATGTCAAAGTTAAAAAGCCAGATGTTGATGTAACAGGTCCAAAAGTTGATATTAATGCTCCTGAAGTTGAGGTCCAAGGAAAAGTGAAAGGATCCAAGTTTAAAATGCCTTTCCTGAGTATTTCCTCTCCCAAAGTTTCTATGCCTGATGTGGAGCTAAATTTGAAAGGTCCAAAAGTCAAAGGAGACTTAGATGTTGCAGGTCCTAATTTAGAAGGGGACTTTAAAAGTCCCAAAGTAGATATTAAAGCACCAGAAGTCCATCTGAATGCACCTGATATGGACGTTCATGGTCCAGACTGGAACCTGAAGATGCCCAAGATGAAAATGCCCAAGTTCAGTGTGCCTGGCTTAAAAACAGAAGGGCCTGATGTGGCTGTGGATTTACCAAAAGGAGACATCAACATAGAAGCTCCCCATATGAATATTGAGGGCCCAGAAGTCAATGTGGAAGGTCTAGAAGGAGGCTTAAAAGGTCCCAAATTCAAGATTCCTGACATGAACATCAAAGCTCCTAAGATCTCCATGCCAGATATTGACTTAAATCTGAAGGGTCCCAAAATGAAGGGTGATGTAGATGTTTCTCTTCCCAAGTTTGAAGGGGATCTGAAAGGGCCAGATGTTGATATCAAAGGCCCTAAAGTGGACATTAATGCTCCAGATGTGGACGTTCATGGTCCAGACTGGCACCTGAAGATGCCCAAGGTGAAAATGCCCAACTTCAGCATGCCTGGATTCAAAGGAGAGGGCCCTGAAGTGGATGTTACTCTCCCAAAGCTGACATTGATATTTCTGGCCCCAATGTAGATATTAATGCCCCAGAGGTCAATATTGAAGGTCCAGATGCTAAGCTGAAGGGTCCCAAGTTCAAGATGCCTGAAATGAACATCAAAGCCCCCAAGATCTCCATGCCTGACTTTGATCTAAATCTGAAGGGCCCCAAAATAAAGGGCGATTTGGATGTGTCTTTACCAAAAGTGGAAGGTGATCTAAAGGGCCCTGAAGTGGACATTAAGGGCCCGAAAGTTGATGTTGACACTCCTGATATTAACATTGAGGGCCCAGAGGGTAAATTGAAGGGGCCCAAATTTAAGATGCCAGAGATGCACCTAAAGGCTCCCAAGATCTCCATGCCTGATGTTGATTTGCATCTGAAGGGGCCCAAGGTCAAGGCGATGTGGATGTTTCTCTGCCCAAGGTGGAAGGTGACCTCAAGGGCCCTGAAGTTGACATAAAGGGACCCAAAGTGGACATAGATGTCCCTGATGTGGACGTTCATGGCCCAGACTGGCACCTGAAGATGCCCAAGGTGAAAATGCCCAAGTTCAGCATGCCTGGCTTCAAAACAGAGGGGCCTGAAGTGGATGTGAACCTGCCCAAGGCTGACATTGATGTCTCAGGACCTAAGGTGGACATTGAAGGCCCTGATGTTAACCTTGAAGGGCCAGAAGGGAAGCTGAAGGGCCCCAAGTTCAAGATGCCTGAGATGAACATCAAGACTCCCAAGATCTCAATGCCTGACATTGATCTTAACCTGAAAGGCCCAAAAGTGAAAGGTGATATGGATGTGTCTCTGCCAAAAATGGAAGGTGAGATTAAAGTTCCTGAAGTGGATATTAAAGGCCCCAAAGTGGACATTGATGCCCCTGATGTGGATGTGCATGGCCCAGACTGGCACCTGAAGATGCCCAAGATAAAAATGCCCAAGTTCAGCATGCCTGGCTTCAAAGGAGAGGGCCCAGAAGTAGATGTGAACTTGCCCAAGGCCGACATTGATGTCTCAGGACCAAAGGTGGACATTGACGTTCCCGATGTGAATATTGAAGGTCCAGACGCTAAGCTGAAGGGCCCCAAGTTCAAGATGCCTGAGATGAACATCAAAGCCCCCAAGGTCTCCATGCCTGATGTTGACTTTAACCTGAAAGGTCCTAAAGTGAAGGGTGATGTAGATGTTTCTCTGCCTAAACTGGAAGGTGACCTAAAGGGCCCTGAAGTTGACATCAAAGGCCCTAAAGTGGACATTGATGCTCCTAATGTAGACGTTCATGGTCCAGACTGGCACTTGAAGATGCCCAAGGTGAAAATGCCCAAGTTCAGCATGCCAGGATTCAAAGGAGAGGGTCCAGAAGTGGATGTGAATCTTCCCAAGGCTGACATTGATGTCTCAGGACCCAAAGTGGACATAGACACTCCTGACATTGACATTCATGGCCCAGAAGGGAAACTGAAGGGCCCCAAGTTTAAAGTGCCTGACCTGCATCTCAAGGCACCCAAGATCTCCATGCCTGAGGTTGATCTGAATCTGAAGGGTCCAAAGGTCAAGGGTGATGTGGATGTTTCTTTGCCAAAATTGGAAGGAGACCTCAAAGGCCCTGAAGTTGACATCAAAGGTCCTAAAGTGGACATTGATGCCCCAGACGTGGACATTCATGGTCCAGACTGGCACCTGAAGATGCCCAAGGTGAAAATGCCCAAGTTCAGCATGCCTGGCTTCAAAGCAGAGGGTCCAGATGTGGATGTGAACCTGCCCAAGGCCAGTGTTGACGTGTCAGTGCCCAAGGTGGACATTGAAGCCCCTGATGTGAGCCTTGAAGGTCCAGATGCTAAGCTGAAGGGTCCCAAGTTTAAGATGCCTGAGATGCATTTCAAGGCTCCCAAGATCTCTATGCCTGATGTGGACTTGAATCTTAAGGGGCCAAAAGTAAAGGGAGATGTGGATGTGTCTTTGCCTGCAGTAGAAGGTGAAATGAAAGTGCCAGATGTGGACATCAAAGGTCCTAAAGTGGGCATTGATGCCCCTGATGTGGACATTCATGGCCCAGACTGGCATCTGAAGATGCCCAAGATAAAAATGCCCAAGTTCAGCATGCCTGGCTTCAAAGCTGAGGGGCCCGAAGTGGATGTGAACCTGCCCAAGGCTGACATTGATATCTCAGGACCCAAGGTGGACATTGACGTTCCCGATGTGAATATTGAAGGTCCAGATGCTAAGCTGAAGGGCCCCAAGTTCAAGATGCCTGAGATGAACATCAAAGCCCCCAAGATCTCCATGCCTGATGTTGACTTTAACCTGAAAGGTCCTAAAGTGAAGGGTGATGTGGATGTTTCCTTGCCTAATGTGGAAGGTGACCTAAAGGCTTGTGGTGTTATATCAAGGGCCCCAAGGTGGACATTGACACTCCTGATGTCAATATTGAAGGTCCAGAAGGAAAAATAAAGGGCCCCAAATTTAAAATGCCAGAGATGCACATCAAAACCCCCAAGATTTCCATGCCTGACTTTGACTTAAATCTCAAAGGGCCAAAGGTAAAGGGAGATGTGGACCTTTCACTACCTAATGTGGAAGGTGGTCTGCAAGGACCAGACATGCACATTGAAGGTCCTGAAGGGAAAATCAAAGGTCCCAAATTTAAAATGCCTGATGTCCATTTAAAAACTCCTCAAATCTCCATGAGTGACATTGATTTGAACTTGAAAGGACCTAAGATAAAGGGAGATTTGGACATTTCCATTCCTAAACCAGAAGGGGATCTTAAAGGCCCCAAAGTGGATGTGAAAGGCCCTAAGCTGGACATAGACACTCCTGACATTGACATTCATGACCCAGAAGGGAAGCTGAAGGGCCCCAAGTTTAAAGTGCCTGACCTGCATCTCAAGGCACCCAAGATCTCCATGCCTGAGGTTGATCTGAATCTGAAGGGCCCAAAGGTCAAGGGTGATGTAGATGTTTCTTTGCCAAAATTGGAAGGAGACCTCAAAGGCCCTGAAGTTGACATCAAAGGTCCTAAAGTGGACATTGGTGCCCCAGATGTGGATGTTCATGGTCCAGACTGGCACCTGAAGATGCCCAAGGTGAAAATGCCCAAGTTCAGCATGCCAGGATTCAAAGGAGAGGGTCCAGAAGTGGATGTGAATCTGCCCAAGGCTGATATTGATGTCTCAGGACCCAAAGTGGACATTGACGTTCCCGATGTGAATATTGAAGGTCCAGATGCTAAGCTGAAGGGCCCCAAGTTCAAGATGCCTGAGATGAACATCAAAGCCCCCAAGATCTCCATGCCTGATGTTGACTTTAACCTGAAAGGTCCTAAAGTGAAGGGTGATGTAGATGTTTCTTTGCCTAAACTGGAAGGTGAGCTAAAGGGCCCTGAAGTTGACATCAAAGGCCCTAAAGTGGACATAAATGCCCCAGACGTGGACGTTCATGGTCCAGACTGGCACTTGAAGATGCCCAAGGTGAAAATGCCCAAGTTCAGCATGCCTGGCTTCAAAGGAGAGGGCCCAGATGTGGATGTGAACCTGCCCAAGGCTGACATTGATATCTCAGGACCCAAGGTGGACATAGACACTCCTGACATTGACATTCATGGCCCAGAAGGGAAACTGAAGGGCCCCAAGTTTAAAGTGCCTGACCTGCATCTCAAGGCACCCAAGATCTCCATGCCTGAGGTTGATCTGAATCTGAAGGGTCCAAAGGTCAAGGGTGATGTGGATGTTTCTTTGCCAAAATTGGAAGGAGACCTCAAAGGCCCTGAAGTTGACATCAAAGGTCCTAAAGTGGACATTGGTGCCCCAGATGTGGATGTTCATGGTCCAGACTGGCACCTGAAGATGCCCAAGGTGAAAATGCCCAAGTTCAGCATGCCTGGCTTCAAAGGAGAGGGCCCAGAAGTGGATGTGAACCTTCCCAAGGCTGATATTGACGTCTCTGGACCAAAGGTGGACCTTGATGTTCCAGATGTGAATATTGAAGGTCCAGATGCTAAGCTGAAGGGCCCCAAGTTCAAGATGCCTGAGATAAATATCAAGGCTCCTAAGATCTCCATGCCTGATGTTGACTTGGATTTAAAAGGACCTAAATTAAAAGGAGACTTTGATGTGTCTGTTCCTAAGATTGAAGGTAGTTTGAAAGGTCCAGAAGTAGACCTTAAAGGTCCAGGTCTGGATTTCAAAGGCCCTGATGCCAAACTCAGTGGCCCTGATTTGAAGATGCCATCACTAGATATAACTGCTCCTAAAGTAACTGCTCCTAATATTGATTTGCATGTCAAGACACCAAAAATTGGAGTTTCTGGTCCCAAGTTAGAAGGTGGTGAAGTTGATCTCAAAGGGCCCAAAGTTGATTTAGAAGCTCCAACCTTAGATGTACAAATGGAGAGCCCAGATATTAATATTGAGGGGCCAGATGTTAAAATTCCCAAGTTTAAGAAACCAAAGTTTGGATTTGGGGCAAAAAGCCCTAAAGCTGACATCAAGTCACCATCACTAGATGTGACTGTTCCTGAAGCAGATCTGAATGTTGAAGCTCCTGAAATAAGTGTTGGTGGCAAGGGCAAGAAAAGTAAGTTTAAAATGCCCAAAATTCACATGAGCGGTCCTAAAGTTAAAGCCAAGAAACAGGGATTTGACTTGAATGTTCCCGGGGGCGAGATTGATGCCAGTCTTAAGGCTCCTGATACAGACATCAATATTACAGGGCCGGATGCCACACTCAAAGCTGACGTGAAATCTCCCAAAACGAAGAAAACTATGTTTGGAAAAATGTACTTCCCAGATGTAGAGTTTGACATTAAGTCACCTAAGTTTAAGGCTGAAGCTTCCCTTCCTAGCCCCAAGATGGAGGGTGAAATCCAGGCACCTCATTTGGACATTCCTGCACCGGGGATTAATGTGGAAGGTTCTGACATCAAGGTGAAGGCTCCCAGGTTGAAGGTGCCAGGTGTGGATATCTCAGGGTCAAAAATAGAGGGCAACTTGAAAGGCCCCAGAGTGCAGGCAAATTTGGACACACCTGACATCAACATTGAAGGCCCAGATGCTAAAGTCAAAACACCATCTTTTGGCATTTCTGGCCCTCAAGTCTCCATACCCGATGTGAATGTTAACTTGAAAGGACCAAAGATAAAGGGTGATGTCCCCAGTGTAGGACTAGAAGGATCAGATATAGATCTGCACGGTCCAGAAGCCAAAATCAAGTTCCCCAAGTTTTCAATGCCCAAAATCAGTGTCCCTGGTGTGAAAATGGAGGGTGGGGGAGCTGAGGTCCATGCTCAGCTGCCCTCTCTTGAAGGAGGCTTTAGTACACCAGATGTTAATCTTGAAGGGCCTGATGTCTCTCTAAAGGGGCCAGGAATAGACTTGCCTTCAGTGAACCTCTCTATCCCAAAAGTCTCTGGGCCTGACCTTGATGTGAACTTGAAAGGACCAAGTTTGAAGGGAAACCTGGATGCGTCAGTTCCCAGCATGAAGATGCATGCCCCAGGGCTTGACGTCGGAGGTGTTGGTGGAAAGATACAAATAGGGGGAGATGGTGTGAAAGTGCCAGGGATTGATGCCACAACATTTAATGTTGGAGCACCAGATGTGACACTGAAGGGACCAAGCATACAGGGAGACCTTGCTATGTCTGGTGACATAAAGTGCCCTCAATTATCTGTAGGTGCTCCTGATCTAAGCTTGGAGGCATCTGAAGGTGGTATTAAACTTCCCCAAATGAAGCTCCCCAAGTTTGACATATCCACTCCAGGATCTGACTTGGATATTAACATCAAGGGGCCACAAATTGGTGGCGATCTAAAGGGGCCAGGTATGGGCATGAACCTGAAAGGGTCTCAGATCTCAGCATCAGGCATGGACTTTAACTTGGAAGGACCAAAAGTGAAAGGAAGCCTTGGGGCCACTGGTGAGATGAAGGGCCCCACGGTTGGAGATCTTCCAGGCATCAGCGTTCAAGGCCTAGACGGAAGCCTCCAAATGCCCAGAATTAAGTCCTCTGGATATGATGTGGACCTGCCAGGTATGAATGTGAAGCTCCCAACTGGGCAGATTTCTGGTCCAGAAATTAAAGGTGATCTGAAAGGTTCAGGACCGGGTTTCCATGGGGCTGTTCCTGATATCAGTGTAAAAGGGCCTTCCTTTAATATGGCATCTCCTGAGTCAGATTTTGGTGTGAACTTGAAGGGCCCAAAAATCAAAGGAAGTGTGGATGTTTCAGGGGGTGTCAGTGCCCCAGATATCAGCCTGGGTGAAGGGCATATGAGTGTTAAAGGCTCTGGAGTTGAGTGGAAGGGACCCCAAGTCTCCTCTGCTCTCAACTTGGAAGCATCTAGGTTTGCTGGGGGCCTTCATTTCTCAGGACCAAAGGTAGAAGGAGGTGTGAAAGGAGGTCAGATTGGACTCCAGGGTCCTGGGCTGAGTGCGTCTGGGCCTCATGGTCACTTGGAAAGTGGATCTGGAAAAGTAACATTCCCTAAGATGAAGATCCCCAAATTTACATTCTCTAGCCGTGAGCTGGTTGTCAGAGAAGTGGGGGTGGATGTCAACTTTCCTAAAGTGGAGGCCAATGTGCAGGCTGGTGCTGGAGAAGGAGAGTGGGAAGAATCAGAAGTAAAACTTAAAAAGTCCAAAATCAAAATGCCCAAGTTTAATTTTTCCAAACCTAAAGGGAAAGGTGGTGTCACTGGATCACCAGAAGCTTCTATTTCTGGGTCCAAAGGTGACCTGAAAAGCTCAAAGGCCAGCCTGGGCTCTTTGGAAGGAGAAGCAGAAGCTGAAACATCTTCACCTAAAGGCAAATTCTCCCTGTTTAAAAGTAAAAAGCCAAGGCACCGCTCCAATTCTTTCAGTGACGAGAGGGAGTTCTCTGCACCTTCCACCCCGACAGGGACTTTAGAGTATGAAGGTGGAGAATTGTCACTGGAAGGTGGTAAAGTCAAAGGGAAACATGGGAAGCTGAAATTTGGTACCTTTGGTGGATTGGGGTCAAAGAGCAAAGGTCATTATGAGGTAACTGGGAGCGATGATGAAGCAGGCAAATTACAGGGGAGTGGAGTATCCTTGGCCTCTAAGAAGTCCCGACTGTCCTCTTCCTCTAGCAATGACAGTGGGACTAAGGTTGGTATCCAGCTTCCTGAAGTAGAACTGGCAGTTTCCACAAAGAAAGAGTAGCGGGCCTTTGTATGTGTGTACATATATATATATATAAAACTACATCAGCCTTGGGTGTGTTTGTATATAAACTCCAAAGAGAAACACCCCTATGGCCTCAGCAATAATGCAAAGATCTTGCCTCTGCTGGTGGCAAGTGCTGAAAAATCAACTGCCTCCAGGCTACTGGAACTCTGCAAGTAGCTAAAGAGTTCCAAGTTCATCCAGTCCATTATACAAAGTCAACAGTATTTGCCTTAAGATTTCAGTTTTTTTTTTTTTTTTGCATTGAACGCTGAGAGCTCCTGTTTACTAAGCAAGCTTTTGTGTTTATTATCCTCATTTTTACTGAACATGGTTAGTGTTGGGGTAATGGAAACTCACTTTTTCATTGTAATGACTTATGGGGCTTTTGTTAGTAAAGAAGGGTTGGGTAAAAGGCAGAAGATGGGCCAGATCTTCATAGCTCCTCAGATTGGATCTATTCAAACAGCAACACCCAGACCTGGCAGAGGGAGATGGCAGCCAGAGTGTGGGTGTTTTTGAGCTCTTTGCATAGCTTTATCCCCAGGGGTGGTGGTCCCAGCCAGTTTGGTGCTCAGGGTAAGAGGGAAGTAGAATCTGTTTGCAAATTGTCCAATCCACCAGGTCAACACACGGGGCTTCCATTTTGTGTTTTGTAAGGGAACTGTTTTATTAATGATTGTCATGTTCCTGATAATAGTTCTGATTCTTTTAACAAATGTTATTATGATTAAGAAAATTTCTGGCACTTTAATGGCAAATTAATTGAGAATGTAAGAAAATTGATGTTGTACAAGGCAAATAAAGCTGTTTATTAACCCTGATGTCTTGTGTCTTTGCATTCCATGTTGAAGGGGGATGAAGCCAGGGGACACTGTATACCCAGCCCTGACTGTTCAGACTGGATCCACCTGTTGGTGTTGCTAGTTTCATTAGTGACTTTAAGGCATGCCTCTGAATACTTTGCTTCTTGATTCTCATGGTGAGACTGGCTGCACTGCTGCTGAGAAATCAAGAGTCTAGGGGCCTGAGCTGTAGCTCAGTGTAGAATGCTTGCCTAGCATGAATGGAACCTGGGTTCCATTCCCAGCACCAAAAACAGGTCAGGGAGAGGGACACTTGGCCTGCTGGTGTGCCATCCCCCAGGACACACCCACTAAATCTGTGTCCTCAGATATGAATTCAAGTTTTAGAAATGGTTGTAAATGGGTACAGGGATGCAGATATGAATGGAAAAAGTCCTATTAGAGTGGCAGAAAGGGCCCTCCTGTGAGTCACGTCCTGCCTTCTACTCTTGACTTGGCAGCAAGTTTGCTTAGTGGCCTCAAGTTGCCTATACTGTCTGGGCCTCAGTCTCTTGTTCAAAATAAGGATGCTGAACTTTTATTAGATATCATTATGAGAATGTTCTGTATAGCTCATTTTAGGGTAACCATTATGAAAAATCTCTTCTGACCAAAGTCCTCTTTTGATTTTCTGCTCTGCAGACTACTCATGGGGTGTTGGCAGGAGGACCTTCTATGAACTGGCTCCTAGTGTTGCTCACTGTTGGCAGAGGCTGTTGTCCTGTATCAAAATAAGTGGACCAAGCTTGTCCCCTTTACCATTCCCCAGAGCTGCTGCCTTTCTGCTACTAGAGGTGGTTCTGTATCTGTCTGCTTTGCTCAGACCAGAGACAACAGCCCCTACCTCATCCCACTTGCTCAAATACTAGCTTGTCAGTGGGTTTCTGCATGGAACAGTGGGATCCCCTGCCCAGTGTGAGCTCCACCTTCCCAGATTTCAGACATTCATTCCCCAGCTTTATCCATTCCTATTTCAGCTAGCAGAGCCTGTGTTCCTGAGGGTGTTGGAAGTCAAGGTTGGCTCTGGGTTTTGGAAAGAGATAGATTGGGAGGTCCTGATCTCCTGCTGCTTTTCCTTGGATGACCAACCTACTGCTATTTTTGTGAATTGGACAGGGTGCTCAACCTCTTTGAGCCTCAGTTTCCTAATTCGTAAGAGGGGATAGTAGCCATAGGATACCTGTTGAGGTATTTGACCTATGTACAGGTTGAGTCCTTATTTAAAATGCTTGGAACCAGAAGGGTTTTGGATTTTGCATTTTTTTGGGGGGGATTTGGAGTACTTGTGTATATATATCTTGGGGACAGGACCCAAATCTAAACATGACATTCATTTGTATATCATTTATACCTTATACTTATACCCTGATGATAATTTTGTACCGTTAAAAAAAATTCAGTTATTTTTAATAGTGTGTATTAATTGTACAAAGAGGTTTCCTTATAATATGTCCATACATGTATAAAAATGCTTTGATCAAATTCACCCTCATTATTACTCTCTATTATTCATCTTGCTCTCAATTTTGTACAATATTTTAAATAATTTTGTGTATGAAGCAAAATTGGTATGTTTTTTGGTGTGGAATTTTCCACTTATTTGTTGGTATTATGTTGGCACACCAAAAGTTGTTCTGGAGCATTCTGAATATTTGGAGTAGGTATCCTCATTATGAGGCTGTGTATGTGTGCGTGCATGTGTGTGCACTATGTCTAAGTGTGCGGCATTCATGTCAGAGCCATACACTTTTTTTGTGGAGAGCCAAGCCTGGGTATGAATCCTAGCAAGGTGGATGCACCTTTCTTCTAAAGCAACCCCTAGGTACACTCAAAAGCGTGCACATGCCTGCTGTCACACATACCTGCACAGCTCCCTTCTGGCCTCACCAGTCAAGTGTGCTCCTTTCACTCATTCACAACTTAAAGCCCAATTCCTGCTCTTCCATTAACTCTGAAGCTGATGGTGTGTGTGTGTGTGTGTGTGTGTGTGTATTGCATGCTGCCTGAGATGCATGATCCTGGTGTCTGGAGGGTGGGATGAGTGGGTGACAGTGGGGATGCACTTGTATATGCAGTTGGGGAGGACGCCCATCAGGATTCTGGAACTATCCCCTGGGAAGAACTATTCCAGGTTGCCCAATAATAATTAAACATTTTTAACTTGAGAAAGGGCTGATATAGGCTAGTGGTGGATCCCAGTGTCCACTCATTCAATAAATGAGTGCCATTTGCATAGACACTGTCCAATCCCATTGATATTGGGATCCTCCACTGGTGACTTCTGTAGACCAGAAGATGTGATGGATGAGAAGATCCAGGACGCTTTGGACCCTGGGAACAAATACACCAGAGGAACACATCTACCAGGGATGATGAAGCTTCTGATGGATTCTGAGTTCTCCAGATGATATTTCATTGGTTGGGACAGCCAGGGATGATGGGTAGAATGGGGAAGGAACACAAAGACTGCCAATTCACACTCAAGAAACTTCTCAGCCACTCTCTTCTTACATCAGGCCCAGGCTGGAGGCAGTGGCCACAGAACCTTCAGTGACCATTATTACAGAAGAAGCTGCATGGAGGGAGGCACAAAGGGCTGGTGTGACATGTAGAGGATTCAATCCTAGCTAGCCTCCCTTTGCCTGCTCCCCACCTTGCCACTCTTATTACCTTATCTCCCCTCGGTTCCCCCTTAGTGTCTTTCTGCATCATTGCTTTGCCTGCCTTCTCTGTCTCTGGTGGGGCTGGTCTAAATTACCTCTCAAGGTCCTGCAGCGCCTCAGACTTGAAAAGCCTTACCTTCTGAGGCCTCAGTTCCTGCATTTGGGGGTGACAGCAGCACCAGAGATTGGGATGGAGTCAGGCTGGGCTCTTCAGAATCCTCCCTCACAGTTCCAGGAAGGATGGTAGCAAGGACCATGACCTTAAGATATTCCTCACTGTGACAGACAGTGTGACTGTGTATGGGCAGTGGAGTGGCTAAGGAGACTGTTAGAACATAGACTTATTTGAAATGCACTGTGAGCTTACAAATGGCAGTGACAGTTTTCATAAACTCACACTCATTTCTGTATCTGTTATTCAAGTTCTACTTGAAGATTAATTCAACCAAAGGAACTTTAATAAAGGAACTATTTATGGAGTGGTGAGCAGGGGCAAAGGAGCTAGGAAGGGATGGTGAGAATGTCAATGACAGGGGAAAACTTGTGCCACCTCTGGGCCTGAAGGGGTATGGGCAAGGAATGGTGCTCCTGGAGTCCAGAGTGAGTGGGAGGGAGAGGTGGGGCCACTAGCAAGGCTGAAGCCAGGAGGACCACAGCATCTGCTAGCACTGTCTGCTCTGTTAAGAGGGAGAAATACCCTGACCTCTCTGTTCCGCTGGGGGCTCCACTGGAAGGCCTGGGAGCCAGCCTACTGACCACAGCAGCCGGCAAGACAGGGGAGCAGTGAGAAGGGGCCTGAAAGTGGAGGTGGCAGATAGAGAACACCCAGGACAATATTCTGGTCCTCATTTTTTTGTTTGGTAATCTTGAATTTTCATATGTTGAGGGTTTTGTTTTGTTTTTAAGTAGCCACATTTACAAGGGGGTGTATTTAAGGAATTACGACAAGCAATTCGGCAGTTAAAAAATATAGCAAACACCTATCCATCCCCAAAACTTTTGTTCTTAGTAGTCACCTTGGGAAGCTCAGCTCTTACTTTTGTGACAATTCTACTCGTTTTTTTTTTTTTTTTTTTCCCTTTGGCAGGCTTGGGGTTTGAACTCAGAGCTTCACATTTGCAGAGCAGACACTCTCTACTGCTTGAGCCATGCCTCCAGTCCATTTTGCTCTGATTATTATTATTATTTTGCCATACTGGGGCTTGAACTCAAGGCCGACACCTTAAGCCACTCCACCAGTCCTTTTTTTGTGATAGGTTTTTCTTGAACTGTTCGCCTGGACTGCATCAAGCCCTGATCCTCCTGAACTCTGCCTCCTGAGTAGCTAGGTTACAGGCATGAGCCACTGGCGCCCAGCTGCTCTGATTATTTTTGGAGATGGGGGTTTCATGAACTATTTGCCCAGGTTGGCCTCGAACTGTAATCCTCCTGATCTCAGCTTCCCAAGTAGCTAGGGTTACAGGTATGAGCCAATGGGGCTGAGTGACATTGATATGTCTGAAGGGGATGGGACGAGGCATTTTGTAGAAATGTTCCTCGATCTGGGTTTGTCTGCTGATGTTCCCTCATGGTTCAATGTCTAGTTGTGCATTTTGTGGCAGGAAAACCACAGGAGTGACATTGGGCGCTTTTTAGTACATCCCTGTGAAGGTATATGATAGTTCCACTTAAGAAGGGAGCTGCCAGATTTCTTCCTTGTAATCTTGCCTATGTTTTCTCTTTGGGTTTAAAGAGTAAACCCAAGTTTTCAAGCAAGAAGTCCAAGTTTGGGCAAGTTTACTTTCAAGTGCTTTTTAAAGGGCTGGTGGCATGCTTGGCCTTGGCATACACTCTGGTTGGGGATTTTGAAAATGGGGCCCTGGCTTTGAGTTTTGCAGCACAGAGAAGCTCTCTGTCTTTCCTCATGAGGACAAAGAATTCCGTGCATTAGTGCTCACCACGGTCCTGGGAATGCCATGTGCTGTTTACCAGCCTCTGAATTGCCCCATGGCGTCAGACAGCCTCAAGGGTTTCCTGAGGCTGAATGTTCCCTACAGAGTCTCTGCAGAAAGTTCTGATGAGGAGACTGGTTTCATTTCCCTTTAAATGCCTGTTATTTTCCACCAGAAGCTTGAGGTCTGCCCCTAACGGAAAAATTTCCCAGAAGTACAGCCAAGGCTAGAAAAGGGTTACAGATGAAAATACCTTCTTTTTGGACAGATAGATGGTTCTAGCTCACAAAGTGCTTTATCTCTTGAGCTTTCTGAGTTCTCAGCTCCACCCTGGAAAACAGGCACTATGCTTACTGACTCCATCTCTCAAACCAGGAAATT